GTGTGTGTGTGTGGAACTGGAGTTAACAGACTTACTAGCCACCAAGTCAGTGTTGGAAAACAAACCCAGGTTCTTTACAAGAGTAGCCACTGCTGGGTCATGTCTTCTGCTCCTGTCCCTTTATTCTTACTGGAAAGCTGCTTTGTTTTTTTTGTCCTAGAAATTATGAAAACCTACATTTTAGGTGAAATCACAGATTAATTTCAGTTTATTGATTGAGGAAGTCTCCCTTCCCCTGACTCTGTCTGAAATTCAGAGCAGTTTCTTAAGTTTTTTTCTGTTTTTGAGACCGTCTCCAGCTGTCTCTTGTAGTCCAGGCTGGCCTGGGATACCATTGCAGTCTTCAGTCCTCTTGAATCAGCACCTAGGTGTTAGGATTGTAGACATGCACTACCACTCGTGGCCAGAATGGGTTCTTTTTTTAATTTATGTGTGTGAGTGTTTTGCCTGCATGTATGTAAGTGTATCACATGTTGCAGTGCCCAAGGGCCAGAACAGGGCATCTGATCTCCTGGAACTGGAGTTGCAGATGGTTGTGAGCCATCATGTGTGCTGGGAACTGAACCTGGGTTCTCTGTAAGAGCTACAAGGGCTCTTGACTGCTATGCCATCTCTCCAACCTGAGTAGTCAGTAACCTACCACTGGCACCCTCTCTGAGCTACACCCCAGGCTCTCTTTGAGCCTTCATGAGCCTGTTGAAGAACTAGATAAGGTTGAGTCCAAGTCCCCAAACTGAAATAAAAAGCAACTAGACCAGTCAGGCGTGGTGGCACAAGCCTTTAATCCCAGCACTCAGGAGGCAAAGGTTGGCAGATCTCTGTGAGTTCAAGGCCAGCCTGGTCTACATAGTTCCAGGACAGCTGGGACTATAGGGAGACCCTGTCTCAAAAAGACAAAAAAAGTAACTAGGCAATATTTGTTATGATTTGGTCTAGAAAAAATAAATTACTTTATTTCTGATGGCACATTTTCATTTCCCCTACTTTTGTTAACTACAGAAATACAGACATGTGGACAATATCATGTTTGAGAATCACAGTGTTGCTGATCGATTCCTTGACTTCTGGAGAAAAACAGGGAACCAGCATTTTGGGTACTTATATGGACGGTACACAGAACACAAGGACATTCCTCTTGGCATCAGGGCTGAAGTGGCTGCAATTTATGAGCCTCCTCAGGTATGTAAGTGCAGGGCTTACTGAATGTGGCGCCTGGGTTTGTTGTGAAGGCACTGTGAAATTCCCTTTCTAGATGGCCTCTTTCTCACCTTGTCGTTTCTGCAGACTCTGTCTCTGGTTATACATTCTTACATATGCACACACATGTGCACATGATAATTATTTCCTTCTTGGAGGGGGGGGTTGTTTTGAGACAGGGTCTTTCTGTAGCCCCAGGCGGCCTAGAATTCACTATGTAGACCAGGCTGACCTTGAACTCACAGAGATCCACCTGCCTCTACCTCCTGAGCGATGGGATTAAAAGTGTGTGCCACCACGCCCGGCTGATAATTATTTCTTATATTATTGGAGAATAATATCACAGCCCCTAGCTCATTTGGTAGAGTAGTTGCCTGTCATGCACAAAGCCCTGGGTTTGATCTTTTCTGCTTCATAAACTATATGTGGTGACACATACCTGTAATCCCAGCACTGGAGGCTCGGTGAAGACAAGAGGATCAAGAGTTCAATGTCATCCTTGGCAAGTTAGCAAGTTCAAGATGAGCCTAGGCTACATGAGACCCTATCTTAAATAAAAGATTATAGCCCTTAATTACTTTATGCTGTTTCCTGATAGAACAGTGTTCTCTGGCATAGCTGGCGTATTTGGGGAGTTTTATTACATTGAACAGAGACCATCGAGCTCTTTTATCTCATCTGCCATTTGAGTTCCAGCTTTGCAGTTCCCGGGCAGTGTGGAGCCGTTACTTTGGCTCTCCATAGTTTTGTCTCTTCTACCTTGCACCAGGTAGCTACCCTCAGAGCGGCGAACTTCTACCATCTGAAAGCCAAAGACCGATTTGAGAACCTCAGAATAACCAACATAATTGAACCTTCCCTTAAAACAGGACTGCAAAAAGTTTTAAGATTTTACTGCTTAGTGAGGCTTACTAGCAAGTTACACGTTTTATTTTCAATTTTTAGAAATTGGCATGTGTGTATGAGTATGTGTATATTTTGTTTTACAAGTATATAATTTTACATGAAACTTAGGAATTTTATTATATATTTATTGTAAAAGCAAAAACTATAAATAGAAGAGCATGTACTTACATATGTGTTACCTTAAAATCTAACAGAAAAATAAGCTGGATTAATGAATGACAAGAGCCTGGGTAGAGTACAGTAAATATTCATGGTAAAGTACGTGGGGCAGGATATGGGTGTTACTGTAAAATTCTTTAAATTTTACTGTGTTTTAAAGTTTATTTTAAAAGTTGGAAAAGAAAAAAACACACAGCTGCAAAGTCAGCTTTATAAACAAGGTATATCTCTTTTCACCCTGTTCCCCTCCTTCTTGTTTGTTTTTTTTTTTTTTAAATCTTTTTGAGACAGGGTCTCCCTATAGCCCCAGCTGGCCTAGACTCACTATGTAGACCAGGCTGGCCTTGAACTTACAGATATCCTCCTGCCTCTGCCTCTCAAGTGCTGGAATTAAAGGCATATGCCTGGCTTTCTCCTTTTTTTAAAAAAAAGTTTTAATTTAATTTTATTTATTATTTTTATTTTATGTATATGAGTGTATTGCCTGCATGTATGTGAGTGCACTAGTGTCGTGCAATGCCACGGAGGACAGAAGAGGGCTTCCCATTCCCCTGGCACTGGAGTTAAGGATGGTTCGTAGCCTCCATCTGGGTGCTGGGAATCAAACCCGGGTCCTTTGCAAGAGTAGTCAGTGCTCTTAACCGCTGAGCCAGCCATCTCTCCAGCCTCTTTCCCCCTCTTTTTTTTAAAAAAAATTTTATTCTGTGTGTATGAGTGTTATGTATATAAGTATATCCGTGTCATGCAATGTCTGTGGAGCCCAGAAGATGTCATATCCACTGAAACTGGAGTTATGGCCAGTTGTTAGCCACCATGTAGGTGCTGGGAACCGAACCCAGGTCCTCTGCTAGAGTAGCAAGTGCTCTTAACCACTGAGCATCTCTCTAGGCCCCTTCCCTTCCTTTTTTAAAAATGATTTGATGCCTAACTTAACTCTAAGCACATATAGGGGTACCGGTTCTTTGTGTATCATACTGTACTTAATTTCTTCTTTCCTTTTTAAAATTTGTTTGTATGTGTGTCTCTGTGTCTATATATGTGTGTCTTTTTGTGTGTGCCACAGTACTTGTGTGGAGGTCGAAGAACGATTTGCAGGAGTTGATTCTTTCCTTCCGACTTGTGGTTTCCAGGGATCAAACTTGGGTTACTAGGCTTGGCGGGTAAATATCCCTGGCCATTTTTTCACCCCTCTTCTGGAAGCTATTCTGAGACTGGACTGATTTTTTTTCTTTTTTTTTTTTTTTCGGCCTTTTTGAGACAGGGTCTCCCTGTAGCCCCAGCTGTCCTGGAACTCACTATGTAGACCAGGCTGGCCTTGAACTTACAGAGATCTGCCTGCCTCTGCCTCCTGAGTGCTGGGGTTATAGGCGTGTGCCACCACGCCCAGCCCCCCCCCCTTTTTTTTAAGATCATCTGATCCAGAGTGGGTGTCCCTGTCCTCCTAGTGCATGATTCAGGGTCTGCAGATATGCCTATAGGAGTGCAGATTTGTGTGGCCCCTGGACAAGTACGAGTGCTTTCCTGACTGTGCTACAAGCTTCTGTGTGTGTGAGATACCACTTAAACATTTATATGGGCCTGTAAGTAGATTATAATTTTCAGGAGGTCTTTTTTTTAAATATTTTATTTATTTTATTTTATGTGTATGAGTGTATTGCCTGCACATATGTGAGTACACCTGTGTCATGCAATGTCGCAGAAGCCAGAAGAGGACTTTGGATTCCCCTGGAACTGGAGTTAAGGACGGTTCGTAGCCACCATGTGGGTGCTGGGAATTGAACCTGGGTCCTCTGCAAGAGCAGTCAGTGGTTTTAATTGCTGAGCCATCTCTCTAGCCCCCAGAAGGTCTTTTATGATGTCTTGTTTACAAAGAAACACTGTGTGCTAACTGAGACCCTGCAGGGAAATATAGGTCATCCAGACCTTGGGTCACAGAGTATGCTCTCTGACCACAGTGCTGCCTTGAAAGCACAGAACCTTTTAATTTAGTTTTGTAAGTTTCTTTCATGGAGAGAGTAGCAGTTCTATTAAAAGTATAATAGAAGTGGGGCATCCTGGTGCATGCCTTTAATCCCAGTACTTGGGCAGAGGCAGGTGGAACTCTTGACTTTAAGGCCAGCCAGGGATACATGAAGAGACCCTGTCTTGAATGAATGAATGAATGAATAAATAAATAAATAAATGAAGGCAAGCCCAGTGTGGGGCCCACCCCTTAGATAAAAACACTTGGAAAGCTGAGGCAGGAGAATTGAGAGTTCGAGTCCAGCCTGTGCTACATAGTGAATTTGAGGCCAGTCCAGACTATAGAGTGAGACCTCATCTCCAGAAAAAAAGAAAGGTGGAGGCAGGGGACAACCTGTAATCTGAGTACTGAGGAGGTGGGGGCCAGCGTAATTTCCACGTCAGCCTCCTTTACGTAGCCAGTTTGAGGCCAGGCATGGCCTCGTTAAAAGACCCCCGTCCACCCCCGCAGTCCTAAACAAAAAGTACACACATACACAAACTTGCTGGGAAATTAGAACAGAGCCTCTGCATCCTGACTGCTGTCAGCATCATGAGAGCCTCCATGTTGGACGTCCTAGAGGTGGAAACTGTTGGTCTTCTATGGCTATCTGCCTGTCACAAGTTAGCCCTTGTCACTAGGTCATTGGGCAGGTATCTTCAATGGCTTTGGTTTGAGCTGGGTATTTGGCCTATGTTCTGTTTTAGCAAACCTAAAATCAGTTACTTGCCAGATTTTGACTAATTTTCAGAGATGTGCTTCATTAGAATATCTCAGCTTGGGTTCACCTTGCCTTTTCATCTGTGCTTGTGGTTTGGGCGGAGAGTGAGTGCTACGTGACCTTTGAGCTGCGTTTAAGTGATTAGAGAATTCAGTAAGTCTGTTCATGCTAGGAAGTGGGTGTCTGCTACACTTTATTTTATAATTTTATTATTATTTTCTTTTTGGTCTTTTTGAGACAGGGTCTCCCTGTAGCCCCAGCCGTCCTAGAACTCACTACGTAGACCAGGCTGGCCTTGAACTCAGAGATCCGCCTGCCTCTGCCTCCCGAGTGCTGGGATTACAGGTGTGCGCTACCATGCCCGGCATAATTTTATTATTTTTAAAAAATTTTATTTATTATTTGTGTATGCGTGTATTGCCTGTGTGTAGGTAAGTGCACCCATGTTGTGCAATGCCCGTGGAGGACAGAAGGGGCTGTCGGATTCCCTGGAACTGGAGTTATGGACAGTTGTTACCTGCCATGTTGGTGCTGGGATTCAATCCTGGGTCTCCTGCAAGAACAACCAGTGCTCTTAACCACTGAGCCATCTCTCCAGCCCCCCTGTTACCACTTTAAAACTTTGTTCTCTAAATTTTTTTATTTATTATTTTTTATTTTATGTGTATGCGTATATTGCCTGCATGTAGGTAAGTGCACCTGTGTTGTGCAATGCCTGAGGCGGTCAGAGAGGCTTGTCAGATCCCCCGGGACTGGAGTTACAGACAGTTGTTAGCTGCCATGTGGATGCTGGGATTCAAACCCTGGTCTTCTGCAAGAACAACCAGTGTTCTTAACTGCTGAGCCATCTCTTCAGCCTCTATTTTTTTTTTTTTTAAAGACAGGGTCTCTTTGTAGCCCTACCTGGCCTTCCTATCTACACCAGAATTCTACCCACCTTTGCCTCCTGAGTGCTGGGACTAAAGGTGTATGCCACCACACCCAGCTTTTTCTCTTAAATTTTTTTTTTTTTTTTTTTGGTTTTTTTTAGACA